TGAAGCTTTCGACACAACACCGGATATGGAATCTGGCAACAAGCAACAAGGATAAGACGTGGAGTGGAGAGCGGAAAATATACATAAGACGAATTGTGAAGGTGTGTGACTAAAATTGATGTGGTTATGAGTGAGCAATAATTTATACTCTAGACCTTATCTGCCATCCAGTTATTAATATTGCATCATTACTGTGTAATATTTAAAAAAAAAACCGCTGTGCGTCGATGCCACAGCGGTTAGGATGCTCGCCGACCATACACATGATTCAGGGTTCCATCCCCGACCACAGATGCACTTCTTTACCTCGCGAAGCCAGAAATAATGCTGGTAAAGAGGAAAGGTTGGGCATGAGGATAGCAACCGCATCCTGTAAAATTAAACACTGCTACAGAAACTTCAAGCCACTAGCTTGAAGCCCTATGTTCCACTAGGGAACGTGAAGGAAAAAAGAAAAATATGGAATTACATTCTACCACAGTGGCCAAGTTCTACACTTACATTAATAATTTGAGTAATATTCATTTCAAATGTACATGTCTCTATCTTCTTGTTCAATTTCCTTTTCCTGATAAGATCAGAATAGTACTGACAGAGTGTAGTATCGATCAACAGTCGTAAAGATTCAAAACTTACCTTTAAAGGTAGTACTTTTCTCTTTTGTTTATACTATTTTCCATGGAAACAACCATTTAACACAATTGATGATTTTATTATTAATTGTTTTATTATAATAATGAAATATTTTTAAGGTCATAAAGTTACATTGCCAAGCCTATTATGCATATACCTGGGCCTGTGTAAGTCGAGGGTAACAATTCTGTATATATTCAATCATTCATGCCTCCATAGAAATGCTTGTATCCAATGTATTGTTGATTATTGTTACCTTTAGTTCCTAAAGGAACATAGGGCTTCAGTCACACGTCTCCATTGCGTTCGGTTTTCTGCCAACGTTTTCATCACCTGGCTCCACGTCTGCCCAAATGCTTTCATCTCTTCTTCAAATGACCTCCTCCATTCCATGTCTTCCTTCCTGTCTTAGATTTTCCTTGATACTACTTAGTTTCTGTTCTCTGTCACTTAGAATTGGTGAAATATTTAAGTGACAGAGGACAGAAATTAAGTAGTACCAAGGAAAATCTAAGGCAGGAAGTGATACACATAAAAGAAGCCTTGAAACTTAATAATTACCCTGATAGGTTAGTCAGAAAGTATGTAGGGAAATGTAAAAATCAAATAATGATAGTAGTGATAGTGATGATAATAATAATAATAATGACGACATGTATGTCAAACAATCGGAAGATAATGACGACACCAACAATAAGGAGTTTAAATCATCAGTAGTAATTCCATACAAGGAAGGAACTTCAGAAACCTTACGCAGAATTCTTAACAATACAAGCAGGAATAAAAGTGGCATTCAAACTACCCACAAAACTCAATTCGAAACAAACTTTGTCGGTTAAAGGATCTTGTGGAGAAAGAGATATATAACAATAGCTTTGTTTATCGAATCAACTGGAAACACGTGATTGCAGTAGGAAAGATTCATCAACACCTGTCCAGACGGAAATCAGGAAAATTCTACTACCCCAACGACGACAAATAGGAGAAGACAAAGAAAACTATAAAACTCAAGTTTCGAAGTCGTGTGATTATAATTGATGAAATGACTATGAAGAATAAATTTTGTTCGAAACGTCATCCAGTCAATAATACTGTTTCACTCACTGACTGTGTGATACATCTAATAAACAAACTAACATGGAATCACTTACTACCGCAGTGCCCAAGTTTTACAAATATATCAACTTCCATTAATTCATGATCTTTTAAAGCGACAACCAGCCAATGTCATCGGTGAATATTTGTCCTCACTCCAAGCAACTTAGTCGTGTAGGGAGTCACTAACCATCAGGCATCAGATTATTTTCTAAGATTTCAAGTTTTATTATGGATTGATGTCAGAAAGATCCTGGGTTCGACCCCTATGGATGCGTACTACTACTACTACTACTACTACTGAAGTCCCAAAATAGGACGAAACACCTGTCAAACAGTACCGTGTAGTAGTTTTCAATGATCCGCTAACTGACATCACTCCGTGATTCAACATCTTTTCAGTAATTGTCAAGATGAATAAATATACATATGTCACGTTGAAACAAAGAGTGGCATAATAGCCAATCAGAGTTAAACTATCATCCATCCATCAATCAAAGGATAGTAATGCAAATGTTTGCGAAATTCAATCCTATATATATATATATATATATATACTCACACACACATCAAAACAAAAATTATAGCCAATAATACGACGGTTGATAACGACATCCATATCGAAATAATCTTTGTTTCATAATATAATCGATATGATTAAGCATCATAGGGTAGTATATATCATCTAGCTAGACAAAGAATTCCTTTTTGCTTATATTACACAATTCGAAAATAATTATGATAATCTATTTTTTGTCAAATTATACGAACAAACTGGTCTACTTAATAACATTTCAGCAGTTGAATTTTAGATTTTCCCCGTCGATTGATTGGAACGAAGTGCTCGGTCTTAGGTTGACATGTCTGTTGGCTTCTTGTGCAGATGCTTTGACAATGCCTGAGTATGAAATTAGAAGTTAATTGGTGGATGATGACTAGTAGTGCAATTCAGGACAATGCGCATTACTTCCTAATTGGGACTCGTCAGCCATAGGGATGTACCTGCATTCCCCAGTGAGTGATGATGTTCCCAGTGGCCCTTGTACTTTACTTACTTTACTTTGGCTATCTCCTACGGGAGGATGAGCCGGCTTCATGAACGTCTCGAATCATCGCTGCCCAGGCGCAGCAATTTGTAAGAGAGTTCATGAAGTTTCATGGGAATTTGGTACGAGTGAAGTCCCCAGAATCGCTCGGCCTTTTGTTTGAGAGTGCAGCTCTAGCCTTTACACAGCCAAGTGTGACCTACAAGGCAGTAGGAGTGGAGTAAGGAGTCCACTATCCATTGGCAGCCGGTGACCGGAGTCCGGTTCATACGCCTTTTTGAATGGGGCCAGACATCCAGGACATCCAACAAGCACTTTGTCCATACGTCTGCCGGTGAGCTCCAGTGAGCTTCATACGCCAGTCGTTGGAGGTTTGGAATCAGGGTTTAGCCATCTCCCCTAGACTGTCATCCAATGGACAGTCAACCCGGTGGAGAGCGCCGGGCATCCGCTTTCGCCCTCTCACTTTGGTGAGAAACACCTCCGCCACGTGAAGGCAGTGAGTAGGACCCTTGTGGCCCAAGTGGTCGAATGCTTTGGCGTTGGAAACTATGGGCACTGGGTTCGAGCCTCTGTGGGAGCATCATCTTTCACTGGGGAACGCAGGTACATCCAGCTGGGAGACGAGTCCTAAATAGGAACGAAATGCGCGTTATCCAGGATTCCACTGCTAGTCATCAACCACCAGTTAATTTCACTAGTTGGATGAAAATGTCAAACTCATATCAACTAGTAACAATAATCAAAACTGTAATAACAGCGAGTGAAAAAAATGAATCCACGTAGAAACATTTTTCAGGTATACGCAAAAAGAAAAAGGATAGTAACACGGGAAACCACGTGGGGTGGGGAAGGGGGGTTAAGTAGATCCAGAAGGTAACAAAGAAGTGAATGCATATGCGCAAGTGACAAAGATTTACAGCCACATCATCATTTTTTTTCAAAGCTATTAGTTCTTACTATCCAGAGGACCACAACCAGTCAGGAAGTCGAGACCCCTCCCTATGTGTGGCCAGCTAAAACTGTCAAGGATTTCATACACTGATGCCAGGTTTTGCTTTGACCACTTCTAACTCTTTTCCAACTTGATCCTATGTTGTGGAACATGGCCCCTCGAGGAAAGCGATAGCTATCCATGTATAAAACCTGTCCTATCTATCCCAAATAGTGCAGATTCACAACTTTATTCATTGACCTCCCTACCTTACCTAGTCGTCTATGCAAAACCGAACGTTAAATAGAACCCAAACATATGTGATCAAAGGTAGACAGCCTTTGTCATATCTTCCACTTTCAGTGGCAATGTCTTATAGCCATAAAGGAGGGCAAAGCAAACTGCTGTGCAGTAACACACATCCTTTCATTGACAGTCAACCGGATATCATATCTATGCCAAACATAGTGTAGGTTGACAAATGCCACACGAGCTTTCTCATTCGACCTCAGATGCTGCTTTCCAAGTAAGTAATGTGGTCAACACTCTCAACCACTCACTTCACTCCAAACTGGAAATCGATGCAAACCAGTCTTGCAACATCACCTTACTTCAGATAAGGAGAGAATCACATACTAAAAGTACTAAGATTTCTCCTGAAAGCGCTCAAGAGAGATTGTATTTTGTCAATGCCTACACCTAGAAAGATTATACCAATTGCATACCCAAATAGACTGTAACTACTCACTGCCTAAGTTTACTGAAGTCGATCAGGGTCACACTACAATGTAACAGAGTAAATAAAACACAATGGAATAATTAAATGAACCTTAAAGGAAATGTTCTGGAATATAGAGATTATTAAGAGTGAATAATATTCATTAATCCTAATGATCTTATCTAGGTCACTCGCTTTCCTATTTTGATTCAGAATAACAGTTATCATAATTTCATTAAATGTTGTGTGTTAACTACAGACTCGACCGATAAATAGTCAATCTGTCAGTCAGAATATAAATGATAAAAATATTGATTTCCCATATACATTAAATGAGGTAACCAACCAATCAGATTTCACCGCGTTGATAGACGCCTAAATATTGACAGTATAACTAACCAATCAGATTTCAGCATTCTGGTTACCGCCTACTAGTCGGCCCAATGTTGTAGTATATAAATTAGTCCATGATACACGATCTTTCCAATCATAAATATGTAACTCTTCCTGAAATTCAACAGTTTGGGGTCACAAAATTAGTCACAATAACTAACACATTTTTTTAAAAACTTACTTAACAACTGATTTTAAAAATTGTGTAGCAGCGCCTAGTGGAGAAGATGACAATGAACTAACTGATGGTGATGACGATGATTGTGGTGAAAAGTCGAATGTTGGACTTGAACGATTTGGACTATTACTTCCGACAGACGAACCGGAAAATGATTCTTTTTTCAATATACCACCAGTTGAAAATAGTCCAGTTGCTGCTGTTATCCCACCACTGAATGGGGATGTTCCTGGTGTTGTGAATGGAGGTGGTGAACCATGTCGTGAAAGACATTCATTGTTAGTAGTAATATTATTCGCCTCAGACAATGAAGATGATGAAGAACGTGAAGAAAGACTTTGCTGTTTTGAATAATTAGAAGTACTGCTTAAATTAAACCATGATTGAAAGCTGAACTGTCATCCATATTCAGTAGACAAACATTGTGAACAGCTGCTGCTGCTGCTGTATGATGTGGCTGAAATGATGCCTTTGGAAGTGAAGGCTGGTCAAGAGTAAACAAAAAGAAAAGAACAAAGCGATAATGAAAGTCAATAATCATACAACTAATTAACAAGGTTATAAGTCACCGGTGGTCATTGAATTCCAACGACCCAAACGACTAAATATTCAACGAACTTCGCGTCTAGTAACCTGAAGGTGCAGATGGTCTAATCCATGACGGGGTCGAAGAGTCTCGAGGCAGCACAAATCAGTTTGTAAAGACAGAAGACAAAGGTTAGGTAACAGACTGTTTGTTGAGGAAACCAAGAGATATTTATAGATTTTTATGTACATTATAGCCGTTTTCTTGTTGAAGGGCTTATTCTGTATTGCTTGTGACCATTTCTCAGAAAGTTAAGCCATGTATCTGCGAATCCTATTCGCACACGCTAAGTCCACTGTGATTGGTTAGTGAGTTCCTCAAGGTCAAGCTTTGTAACTGTTTTTCCCATGACCATAATTCCGGACGTAACATTGACGTAAATTGTTGTCTACAATTTCGGCTTTTTCGTAGCCACCTCTCACCACAAGGTTACCAGTGTTCTCTAGTTTTAAATGATCTCTACCGAATAATAATAAGTCCATATATTGGTATCCGATATGACTTCACAAAAACTTTGTGGTCACACCAAAAACACTACGGTGAATCATCACACAATAACTCCTACACAATGCGAAGAGTAATGAACAAACAAGGAAAAATACACCAGAGAAAGAATAGTAACATGGAAAACCATGGAAACTTAATAATACATACAGAGATTAGAAAAAGTGAATGAATCCACATAACTGAGGACGGTTTCGAGACATTCGACCAACAGTCTTAGCATCCTGAGGATCCTAGGCAGGCAGTCTACACCATCCTACATTGACTGGCTCAAAGCCAAAAGTCGAGAACTTCAAGGGTTTTAATTAATAATAATAATGATGAAAAAATAATAATAATAGTATATGTGTAAAACTTTGGCACTGTGGTGGTACTAAGTAATTCCATATTAGTTTGTTTATTAGATTTATCACACAGTCAGTGAGTGGAACAGTATTATTTACTGGATGACAGTTTTGAACAAAATTTACTCATTATTCATAATCGTTTCATCAATTATAATTACACGGCTTTGAAACTTGAGTTTTATGGTTTTCTTTGCCCTCTCCTAATTGTCGTAGGGGTAGTAGACTTTTCCAATATCGGGGACAGGTGTTGAATCATTCCTATTGCACGTATTTGCAATTGATTAGATTTTAAAACTGTCATCTTATCCCATCCCATTGTATGGTTGGTTGTGTGTAATTGCATGTAGTGCTATAGCTGAACTATTCTCTAGATTTCTTATCTTATTCGGGTCAACCAATCTAGATGTTGCTGCTAGGTTTTTATGCTCCGCTAATCTGACTGCCCCTGTTCTACTAGTTTGACCTGTGTATTTGACCTGACAATCATCGCAGGTAGGGTATTAGATAAACTAAACTGTTATGTTTTAAAGGCTCCACAGGATCAACGCTTTAACCGACAAAGCTTGTTTCTAATTGAGTTTGTGGTTGGTTTGAATGACAGCCACTTTCATTCCTGCCGGCAGTGTTAAGAATTCTGAGTAAGGTGGTTTCCGAGGTTCCTTCCTTGTATGGAATTACTAATGGGGATTTAGATTCCTTATTGCTGGGGTGTTGTCACTACCTTGCATGCAGGTTGTCATCAACATTATTATTATCACTATCGCTACTATCATTATTTATTTTATTTTTACATTTCCCTACACACTTTTTGACTAATTTATCAGAGTAATTATTACGTTTCAAAGCTTCTCTTATGTGCCTCACATCCTGTCTTATATTTCCCTTGGTACTGCTTAGCTTTTGTGCTTTACTATTTAAACATTTCACCAATCCTAATTTCGCCGACAGAGAATGGTATAATCGGAAGTCCAAATATCCGTTTCAATGTGTAGGTTTCCTGTAAACACTAGTAAACAATACGGTTTCACTGTGTGATACATCTAACAAACAAACTAATATGGAATAATATTATTAATAACAGCAGCTCTATTCCAATCACTACTTTTGATATAAATAAGGAAATTTTAGCATGTATACAATATTGCATTTAATTTGGATGTGAAATACATTTCTTTTCCTTCACGTTCCCCAGTGGGACATAGGGCTTCAACCTAGATGCTTGAAGTTTCTGTAGCAGTGTTTAATCTTACAGGATGGGGTTGCTGGCCTCATGCCCAACGTTTCCTTCTTACCAGCATTATTTCTGGCTCAACGAGGTAAAGGAGTGCTTTGTCGGCCGGGGATGAACCCCGGACCATGTGCATGGTCGGTGAGCGTCCTCCTAACCGCTATACCACCGACGCACATGTAAAACACAGGGTTAATAATTAAATAAGGCATTTACATTGATAAGGTTATTAAATAAGAAAATCAATATGAGATTAAAATTTGAGTGGAATTATTAACAACGATACAACAACGAAAGAAAGAATAAAAATTGTCGTTCAGTTAGTGTTTCTCAGTAAGTGAGTTGTGTTATGCCTTGCACTTCTCTCATTACATAAAATGCGCATCAAATAAGGTACCTTGAAGTTTTTATACTTAATTTTCCCCTGATTTAATGTAACGTGAGCGTGCGGGTGGGGTGGGGGTTATGCATAGAGAAGATGGTCAGAGTCTGACAAGATAGCCTTCGCTAATTTCGTGCACGCGTTCAAATGTCTACCTACAAGAGTACTGACAAATTGGTTTAACGGCACCACGATTTTAGTGTCTTCCAGCAGTGTAACAAAGTCCTTCTTAAATAGCCCAGGAAAGATTAAGGTGTGTGTGGGGGGGGTTGGGGTGGTAAAGAAGGATGCGCAGAATACAAGAATTAACAAGCTTAGAAGGTAGAGACCGACTAAGTGTTACCACATCGTCTTAAATTCTTTACGTAGAATGTCAAACAAAATATCTTTCCGGGAACTAAAATAATGTGGGAAGACCAGGAAAGGTGATCAGAGGAAATACACAGTCCAAGGTATTTAGCATTCAAATTAGTTTCAACTGTCGTGGCATCCTATGATAGTGGAACCGTGCAAACAAACCAGTTCATGTAATTCATGCTTGCGTCTGGAAGTAAAAATTAACCATCTGACATTTGAAGGGATTAAGCTTTAGGCCATTTGAGCTCAGGGACCACTAACTGAGAATAAAGGGACATTGAAACAGTCAGACCATCAGTAGAAAATACTGTGAATACTACGAAGCTAAATAGCCTAGTAGAGAGCATGCATATGACTGACACCTCACCCTCCCCCACCCAACAAATTATAACACTGTACACTACTACTCTACTACTGCTTGTTAACTTGCTTTGAAATGAATTTCTCAAATTTTCATGGGTGAAATACAACTGGTAATCTTAATGCAGTCACTTGATGATAATACTGAATGCAGACACATTCTAGGTGTTGCCTTCTGCCAGGTAATGAAACACGCATTTCTTCTAGATCTCTTAACAACCTCGAGTGACAATGAACATTCTTAAGAATTTATATAAATCTAATTGCAAAGTATTGTTGTGAGACTGACAAAAGACTAAACATTGAACGCACAGGAACACACCACTCCCCGCCGCAGGTGGACCGTTGGTAGTAGTTGATAAGCTCGTGTATCTAGGTAGTTGTGTGAGTGCCAACTGAAGCATGACGGAGAAGATCTTTTTAAGGTCTACTGAAATCGAAGAAGACATAAGCCAAAGTAGGCCATCTGTGGCGTCCACACAACCTTAGCCTGGCAGCCAAAACTCTGAGTATTTGATCATCGCTACTACCACGAATTGCTTGTATCCGATAGCATAATTATGTAAGTAGTTCTGAAGTACGATAAGATTACGTTTGGATGCGGTGGGGATTAATCTTTCAATACAAGGTGTCACCCACTGCAGATTGCACAGGTATATTCATTCGGCTGACGAGTCAATCCAAAAGAAGACGAAATTCATATCCCAGTGGATTCTACTGTAAGCCACTATTTATCAAATTAAATGAAGATTCGTTTACATTTATGACGAAATTATCTGAATGTTCAAAATTAAGGAGATGAGGCAGGATTCAGGCAGGACCTGTAACCCACTATAAACTTAAAATCAAAAGTTTAAATCGATCAGTCATAAGTTAGTTAGGGGTGAAGACACTACTGACCATAAAGTTCGACAGATAACTACTTAACTCGAGATCATAATACTTAATACTTTCATTATAATTCAATGTTAGATTTGAGCTTACTGCAAACGGCAAGAGTGAAAAAGAGACACCAAAGTCAAGTGACCTTTAACCAGCCAATCAGATCGCCCAGTATTACAAATGCATTATTATTATTATTATTGCTCCCTTGGGTTCCTAGTGGAACATAGGGCTTCAACTGCACGTCTCCATTTTCTTCTGTCTTCTGCTATACTTTTCGCCTGCATCCATGTTAATCCATATTCTTTCAACTCCTCTTCACACGATCTCCTCCATGTCACCCTTGAACGTCCCACACGCCGCTTCCCTTTCGGGTTCCACTCGAGGGCTTGGCGCGCGATGTCACCCAGCGGTCTCCTCAGCGAGTGTCCGATCCATCTCCACTTTCTCCTGCATATTTGTTGGTTGGCGATTGGTTCTTGTTTTGTTTGTTCCCATAGTTTCTTCTTGTTGGTGATTCTTTCCGGCCATCTGATCTTCAGTTCAGAGCGAAGACAGTTGTTGATAAAGGTCTGAGTTAGTTTGTTGGAAATATTCTTCGTAACCCACCCACCAAGTTTCTGATTCGTATAGAAGAACTGACTGACTTGACGTTTGTATTGAAAATCCGAATTTTGTTGGTGATGCTGAGTGACGAAGATTTCCAGATTGATTTCAGGCTGATGAATGTGTTTCTCGCCTTCCCGATTCTCGATTTGACATCCTCGTCCGCTCCTCCTGTAGTTGAGACAATGCTCCCTAGATAAGTGAATGAAGTAACCTCTTTCAAATCCCTTTC